AGCTAGTGAGCTCAGCAGGCCCGTGGGAGTGAGTTTGTGCCCTCTGCACGAGCTAGTGAGCTCAGCAGGCCCGTGGGAGTGAGTTTGTGCCCTCTGCACTAGCTAGTGAGCTCAGCCAGTTTAGGCGTCTTCATTTTGATTGCTGTATGAGGTAGAGCTTGAACCCACGCCTCGCACGTGGCAGGCAAGGGCTCCACCGCCGGCTGCTTTCCCAGCCCTTTTTATTTTACTTTGAGATAAGCTCTTGCTAAGTGTATCAGGCTGGCTTTGAATCCGAGTGGCTGGAACAACAGGCAGGGCTGCCGTACCTTGGCTAGGATCAGTGGCTTTTAAGGCTCTAATTGTTCTAGTCTTTAATCAGAAATATGAGCTGAGTGTGGTGGGACTCTCCTGTAATCTCTGCACCTCGGGAGGCTGGGCAGGAGGCTTACGCAGCCTTCCAGGCTAGCCCAGGCTGCGTAGTGAGTACAAGTCCAGCCTGCACTGCACGATGAGACCTGTCCCGAGAAAACCAAAAGGGGGAAAGTATGTTTTGAAGCATCTCAGTAATTGTACTACAGGGTGTCACTATTGTTGTTTCTTCAGCGTTTATTTTGAAGTCTCCCAAGTCGGACTGAACCACCTCTAGCGTGCTGCACGAACACTAACAGGTCGTGTTGCTTGCGCAGGAAATGGCCCTGTGTAAGGAGGTCCGCGCGCTGCAGGTGGTCCCGTCCTACTTGGTGCAGCCGCTGAAGCCCAACTGCTCGGCGCACCTGGCCATGAGTCAGGTGGACCTCCTGGCGCGGCTGCTGCGAGACTTGGGCATGGCGGGCTCCGGCTTCACCGTAGACAGCGTGATGAAGGTGAGTGTCCGGCATGACACGTTCAGTGCCCCACGCAGGCCGCCCGGCGTGTCGCCTTGGTGTTGGCCGCATGGGCTGTTAACTGAACTCAAGCCGGCTGAGCGTGAGCGGGCATGCCTGTGGGAGGCTGAGGCCGGATTACCGGGAGTTTGAGGCCGCGTGAGAGCTGTCATCCCTGCTTGGGCTAGCACAGGGCGCCACGGCCTTCCTGCCAGTTTGTGCAGGACGCATTCTGTGTCCGCACGTGACTGTAGCTGTAGGAAGCAGTGGGCAGCATGTGCCACCACCTTGTCCCTGCCTGGCTGCTGCTGGTAGTCCCCTGAGGACTCCACTGTGCCCTGCAAGCCCCTCCATTCTAGAGCACACACAGCCACTTTATCGGGTGCTGTGGCCTCACCCTCTCCCCTCTGCCTGCCTCCCATGTCAGCCTCGGCTGCTGGGAGCACTGCTGTGCAGAACAGTGAGCTGCGCACTCCGCGTGGGCCCAGGCAGTGTATAGGGAACTTTCCTCTCCATGGGCCACTTGGGGCTCTGTCCTTCGGGTCCAGCGCCACCGCTAAGGCCAAGGCAAGGAAGGGAAGCACTGTGCGCAGGAGGCCGGCTGCCAAGACCCCTACCACCCACACTTCCGGGGCAGAGCGTGTGCCCGCAGGGACAGTAAAGCAGATGCACGTGCAGCAGAGGCTCTGTGTGCGGCAGCACCTCTGGGTCTCCGGCTGTGCGCGTCGGCGCTGGCGGTTTTCTCTGCAAACACTTACGATGCACCCGTGCCTCCCCCACCTGGGAGGACCTCGCTCAGCCTCTGCGGGGCCTATTAACCAGAAGCCTTCCCACTGCCCTCAGTTCGCAGTGAGCGCCCTGGAGCACAGGGTGCACGAGGTCCGGGAGATGGCCGTCAGGCTCATCCTGGACATGTATGCGGAGCACCGGGCGCTGGTGCTGGAGCACCTTCCCCCAGACGACAGCAGCACGCGCAGGAACCTGCTCTACAAGACCATCTTCGAGGGGCTCGCCAGGATCGACGGCAGGCCCCCCCACGGCGAGAGGAGGGTAGGCACCTTGGGGACCTGGCTGGCCCGGCTCAGGGGCCCCGGGGGGGCGGTGGAGGCGCTCGGGACGTCAGGGCCTGGGCTCAGATCGGCTGTGCCCCTCCAGCCCATCTGTGAGGGCAGCAAGTGCAGTCGGCCCGAGCGGAAATCGCTGGTTAGATTCACCTGGAGGACACGCTTGGGTTCCGGGTCTGGCTAGCTCAGTGTGGAGGGCAGCACGTAGCAAAAACATGCTCTCTGCAGGTGCCCTTGTCACCCATTGCAGGCCCCCAAGCGACTCCAATGGCAAAGTAACTTTTTTTAACCAGGTACACAGAAGGGCAGCTACAGAAGAAGCAGAAAAACAGAAGGAAGAAGTTAAAGCCCTGCAAGGGCCTCTGGCAGCTCGGAAAGGAACCCAGGCCGAGGCTGAGGTGGGGAGCTGGTGTGTGCTCTGGCAGTCGCCTCCCTGGGTCTGAGGCTGTCACACAGATGTGCGGGTCCCCAGCCACCCTGCTGGTGTGGGGTGCAGGGAGCCACAGAGGGGCAGCTGCTCTCTGCTGTCCCAGCCACCTTTGGGGGACAGGAGGGCAGCGTGGGGGAGGGAGGCACAGCTCCCTGCATCATGTGTGCATACGTGTGTCATGCGTGCGTGTATGTGTGTATGGTTGACCACCCGCTGTGTTCACCCTCCCCATGGGGAGACAGCAGGGCTGAAGAGCAGACACCACAGCCCCAGGAGAGGAGGAGCACGCACGAGCAGGCCTGCAGCCTGGGCTGGGCTCACTGCCCTTCCTGCCCCGCAGAGGTGCACAGGCTCCACCCTGTGCTGGTGCCTCACCCTGAGGACGCGAGGGCAGTGACCTGGGGCACACGCAGGTCACTCGCCCACACATGGCTGTCTCGGCCCGCTCACTCTCTTGCCTGGATCCCGCTGAGGGCCGCCAGTCCTGTGCTGGTGAGGTCTGGGTGGTGGCCCTGGCACAGTGGTGTCTGAGGAGGAGTGTGATCTGAGCCAGAGAGCGTGGGTGCTGACAGTCTCTAGCAGGGTCTGCTGCTGAGAACAAACCCGGAGGAAGCCTTTCCGGGCCAGGCTCACTGGCGGGGGCGGCACTGACCTGAGCTGCCTGTTTCTTCTTAGGCGAAGGAGGGTGATGCTGAGAGGCCCAGGAACCAGGGTAGGTCCCTGTGTCCCTAAGCACCCGCCCCGTGGCGAGCAGCGCGTGCCCACCCGTTACTAAACACATGAGCACCTTGACAAGGGGTCACTGAGACTGTTCTCTCTCGGCTCCGCAGACAGTCCAGGCAGGAACACGGCACCACCGAACATCCCCGACAGCCACTACCTGGACAAGTGAGTCAGGCCAGGCCACTGCCCTGCTGGAAGCCCCTGAGGGACCCTGGTCAGGGGTGTGTCCCTGATTCCCACTGACCTTCCCATGATCTCTTGACTGTGGCTCGCCCCATGGAACACCTGGGCACAGGAGCCTGTTCCACGGGGCAAGCCACAGTCAGAGCCCAGCCTGCCTCGCCTCGGGGTAAAGCCTTCCAGTGTTGACAGCTCTGGGCTTTGCTCGGGACCTGTCGCAGGCCAGGAGGGAGGGGCCCGACCCCCAGCTGGGCCGGAGTCCACCTCCCACCTCTCCCACAGCCTGTGCATCTTCTGCGGGGAGCGGAGCGAGGCCTTCACGGAGGAGGGCCTGGACCTGCACTACTGGAAGCACTGCCTCATGCTGACGCGCTGTGGCCACTGCGGGCAGGTCAGGTGCTGGCTCGGGTGCCGCAGGCCTGGGGGCCAAGCGGGCCCAGAGCCCCAGGCACTATAGCTGCAGAGGCGGCATCAGAAAAGTCACGGGGCATCTAGGGTTCACTGGGCATTGCTCCAGCCCGGGGACGGTCGCCAAGCTGCCCAGTGGTCAGGGCCGCCCACAGGCTCCCTGAAGCGCGGTTTGAGCAGCCACGCCTTGCCTGCGTGTGGGTGGCCATGCTTGCATTCAGTAGGGACAGCCACGTACCCCTGCAACAAGCCACGCGCAGCCAGGGCTTGCCGTCTGTGTCCTTGTGATAGCACCAGCAGTCACATCCTCAGCCAAGCCTTCTGGCTGTGCTGGCAGTGCGGTGAGGCCTGGCCCCATCTGTCAGATGGGCCGTGCTGCTGCAAGGCACCCCAGCACACGTGCCAGTCTCACTGAGCAGCACAGTCTGTCCCCAAGTCATGGTCACCTGATCTGAGCCCCACACAGTGAGCGGGGACCAGCTGCCCATCCTGTGCCTCCCCAGGGGGTGTCCCCAGTTTGCTGAGGAACAAGGCTCCTCACGGGCTCTCCACCCTCCCGGTCTCAGGCTTCACACCTGGTCCTGGTTCTCAGCTCTTCAGCAGCGCCTCGCCTCGAGCTTTTCCTCTCTCACACCATGCCCCAGGCCTTCCTGTTGAGAGGAGGGCAGCTGGTGGAGAGCACACCCTCTCCTTCCAGGGCTGCAGGGAGGTGTCCGAGTGGCCCGTGCCTCCTGGCACCTCATTCCTGCTGTGACATGACGGGCCAGGACCCGTCTCTACACACATTCATCCGAGCCCAGGGGAGCCCAAATTTGAGCCCAGGGCCACACATTTAACCTCCGAGCCACTTGTGGCCACTGATATTACATCAGCCACATCTAAATCACCTGTAGTTCTGCCTGTCTCTGCCTCTTAATGTGGCCTTTGTGTGGTATGGGGTGCAGGAAGTGACCGTAGACACCAGGAGGGGCACCAGGAACAAGCAGTGGCGTGGTCCGACTTGTGTGCTTACGCCGTGCTGTGCCCCGGGCCCAGGTGGTGGAGATCGCCAGCCTGACAGAGCACCTGCTGACTGAGTGCGACAGCAAGGACGCCTTCGGGAAGTGCTACCGCTGCAGCGAGGCAGTTCCCAAGGAGGAGCTGCCCCGACACATAAAAGCAAAGGCGTGCACCCGTGAGTGTCCTGGGGCAGGTGCTGCTGCGGCCTCCACCAGGGACCCGGACCTCTGTGTCAGAGGGAGCGTGCACACGCTGCCTCCCTCGCGCGCACGTGTACGTGGCTAATAGGATCCTTTTCACCCCCATTTCAGCTGCCAGGTCTGAGAAGCTGGCGAACCGGTGTCCTTTGTGCCACGAGAATTTTACTCCTGGAGAAGAGGTGAGGGCCTGACCCAGCAGGGGAGTAGCCTAAAAGGAGTGGGGGCCCAGAGGAGGAACGCCCATGGGGTCAGTGGCCGGTGCACGCCAGAATCAGGAAGCCCGCCTGCCCTGCCCAAGCGGTCAGGCCAAGTGTAGACCAAGACAACTCCAAGGGCACCGCTAGGCGCCGCGGCCGTGGAGCGGGCTCCTCCGGCTCCTGAGGCCTGCTGGGCTGTGGAGCATGGGTCTCAGCATTTGGTGCCTGAAAGGTAGCCCGGCAGGGTCTGCGGAAGGCACCGCTCGGGCCGCAGGCCAGGCTGAGAGCCCGTCACCTCCCGAGGCCCCCACAGCCCGAGGGGCTCACGGTGACGCCGCCTCTGCCTGCAGGCGTGGAAGCTGCACCTGATGAGCCCCTCCGGCTGCACCATGAACCTGCGCAGGACACACAGCCTGCCCAAGGCCCCCGCACCGCCCCAGGGTGAGCACTGCCTACGTGTCCCTCCTCCCTCACCCCAGGCCTGGCTCCGTGCTGTGGCTGCTCTCGGAGGTATCCCCGCCCCAGTGCCCACGGGTGGTACGCAGGCCCTCGTCACCTTCTTCCGCAGGGCAGACCCAGGGGTCTGAGAAAGGTGGCGTTAAACAGAGCTGTGGGTGAAGCCACTGTCTAGTCCCTGATCGCTGCTCTAGCTACGTCCTATCAGGGTTACAGTGGCCTAGAAAGACACACATTTCGTCCACGTCACTGTAGGGTGGTGACTGAGGAGGGCTCAGTCTGCAGCGGCCCGGTCAGTACGGAGACATCAGCCTTCCAAGTGCAGGAGAGAGGCCCTCACCACACGGGGAGCCGTCCTCGCCTGGGGCCTGCCCAGGTGCAGAGCGCGGCCCAAGCGACAGCTGGGCAGTGGCGCCATCTGCCCTCCGACCTGCCTGTCTCCTGCCCCTCCGTCCTCCCACCTGCTGCTGCACGTCTGCTCTGTCTGCATTCACACAGCTCCTCGCCTCGGTCACCTGTGGACCATGACCGCCGCTCTTCGCCTTGCCCCTGTGCTGGCCCTGCCAGCCGGGAGGTGGCCGCCGTCCAGCCCCAGGCCCTGCTGCTCACTGTGGGCTCTTCCCAGGCACCCCAGGGTCACCCAGCCCAAGCCTGCTCTGACACAGTCCCTAAGTCCCATGTGTCTCTGTCCCTATCACAGGGAAAGGCTCCATAACAGCCAGGTCAGGAACCTCAGGACCGAAGGCCGGAAGCAAAATCCCAACCCCAAAGGGAGGCCTGAGCAAGAGCTCCAACAGGACGTACACCAGGCGGTGACACAGTGGCGCTCTCTCCGTCGGGGACCAGGCACTGTCCTGCCTCCAAGCCCTTTCTCCAGAACGCTGGATGCGCAGCCCCTGCTCTGTCTCTGTGGCCCCGGCTCCCATGCTGGTGCCTGGTCCGCTCTGTCTTGCTAAAGGTGTGCGTAGTTCTTAACCAAAGAAGCCAGGAGCTGAGCTCCCAACCCGACTCCGTGGCCTTCGGGTTCAGCCCCTCTGGCCTCAGGGACCAACATAAAGGTGAGCGAGGAAATGTAAGAGACTGCAGCCGCAGGAACCAGTGCCGCGGGCAGGCTTGCTCTCAGCCCAAGGCCCCACCTTGTGGCCGCACCCTCACTGGCCAGGCCCAGGGGACAGTGTGGTGGGATGACACGCCAGGCCAGCCTCACCCCACCTCGCAGCCGTCTGCAGGCTTCGGCTGTGGTCCTGGCACCAGACACTCCCTGCAAGCGCAGGCCAGCTCAGGTCTGTCCTGCTGTCCTTTATCCCAACTCTGGGAGTGAACTGGAAGTCTGATTTTCAGACCATCCATAGGATGCTGAAACATAAGGCGCTGTCTCGGACCCAACCTGGACCTCAGGAAAGCACCCCTCACGGCCAGCAGGGCAACCAGCAAGACGAGCTGCCCACTGTGTACTTGGACACGCCCATCTTGTCATGTCTCCGTGCCCTCTGCCTCAAGTGCCAGGCAGCCATGGGCTGCAGGACAGGCCACTTCCACAGTGGCCGGGTGCTGCTCACACCCTGAGTTTGCGTAGGCAGCCTGCAAAATGCACTCAGAAGTGTGTGGGTTGGAGGGAGCTACTTCCTGTGACTAGTGTGGGAGCGCTTCTAAGTCCCAACCAGGTGAACAGCAAAGCAGGTGTGAGGCAGGAGGGGCGCCGAGAGCTCCAGACAGCCTAGGCTGCGCGGCGAGGCTGTGCCCCGAGACGCCGAGCGCTGTGAGCACCCGGCTCCCAGCGACATGGTCACCAAGAACGTGGACCGACTAACCCCTGCTTTCGGCAAACTAGTACCTCAGGGTGCGGCTGGATGAGAACAAGACCTACCAAGATGGTAATCTGTTAAAAATCTTTGCATGAGCAGAGAGGTGACACAAAACTATTAGACAAGGTGAAGTACAGCTGCCAGGGCTGCTGGCCAGTGGAGCTGTGTCCACAGATGTTGGCCATCGCTTTCTAAGGCATCTTTTAAGACTAGAGAAAGCACTTCCATAAATAAAATGAAGAAAATTAACCAAGAAATTACTCTTTTCTCTGCAATCCAAACTTATTAGATGTACATAGTGTCTCTTATCTGTTTTAACTTAAGACATTTGTAAAAAATAATTCATTTTAGCCAGGCATGGCTGCACCTGTAATCCCAGCACTGGGGAAACTGAGGCAGGAGGATCACTGTGAGCTGAAGGCCAGCCTGGACTGCATAGTGAGACCCCATCTCAAAAACTTAAAAATTCCTTTTTAGTAATTAATGAACGCAATTGGTGTCGCACCTAATGCTTGCACTAGGCACTGGAGAGCCAAGTTTCTGTGGCAGTGGCTGCTGCGGACGTCACCCAGTTATGACTCCCACGTGAGCAAGAGGGGTACACGAGGCCCCGAGGAGCTGCGAGAGCCTGTGGCCATTCGGAAGTAAAAGCCTGAGCTTGGAACACTAATAAATGAGTTTTCATTTGATTACATTGTGGATATTTAACAATATTTATATTATTTTCATATTTTAAGATACTAGTCTGTAAGAGTTGTATCGATACATTTACATTAGAATACAGATGTAAATGCCTTTAATGAATTTGCAGTTTTTTAATGTTTTAACATAATTTTATATTTGTCTTTATTTCAGGTACCAGAATTATAAAATAATATATTTTTATTGTTACACTTTAGGGCATATGGATTAATTCACCTTAAGTATATTAATATAATAAAAAGTCACTAAATATTTTGTCATGCGTTTCACAGTTACAATTAAAAAGCAAACTGTAAATGACTGACTCACTAAATGCCAGCATAGCTCCGCACTGGCCTGGAAGGCAGGCTGGAAGCCTCTTCGGGGAGTCGGGCTGCCTTGAGAGCCGCGCCCCAGCCCTCGCCGCTGCTGCTAGCGACTTTGCACTCAGGTAAGGGCGACTTCCACCCGCTTCCTCCACAGCGCGCACACGTGCAGAATGTTCTAGGGCGTCAGCTGTGCTGAGCTCTCAGGCACGGGTGATATGCAAGCCAGGGCCCAGGAGGGTTCCTGAGCCAGCTCCCAGGATGACACCAGTCAGCTGCTGTGTGCGTGGAAATCAGGAACTAGCAAAGTGTGGCTGAGCGTCCACACCAGAGCTGTCGACTGCTGCAGTGTCCACCACCTCCACCTTGCTGCCAGCTCCTGTGCTTGCTGACACTGCTGCTGGCCACCCTCCGGGTCCCCAGCTCCCCATGACAGTCGTGGGGGGCCAGAGGGCAGCACCTGGCACAAGCTCAGCATAAGGGGCGGCACAGGCTGAACCTGCTAAGGCAGGGAGCTTGCTTAGCAACGCCTGCACCTAGGCAGTGAGGCTCTGGTGGGTCCCAAAGGAGGATGGCTTTGTCCAGCCCCCTCTAGGTATTTGCTGCTTTCCATCTGCCTCGGCTCTGTGCCTTGGGGCAGTGGCTTCCTACACGCAGGAGGCACGCCTCAGCCACTGAGACAAGTTCTGGGGCTCCTGGGGCCATTGCTGCTGCAGAACAGCCGCACGCGGGCCACCCTTGGCGACGCTGGAGGGAGCCAGCGCCACCCAGTGGTGGAGCAGTGTGCAGGCTGCCAAGGCGACACAGGTGACACTTGGGGTGCAGGCCGCCCGCCACGCCCGCACCCCATTTGTCGTGACGGTCAAGGGCTCCAGGGCAAGGCATCCCATCAGCCCACACACCCCAGGTGCCCTGGCGGCTGATGCTGGCTTGGGTGTCGGTGAGGAGCCCCGGGGAACGCTGTGCACCAATCCCAGCCAACAGATGGGGTCAGTGCCTGCAGAGCAGAAAGCCACAGCCCTGTCCAGCTGGCTTAGGACAAGGTCTGGCAACTAGACCTGGCCTCCCCAGCACCAGAGGCCTGGGACCCTGTCCGGACTGGGGTGCACGCGATGGGTGCATCGCCCAGGTCTCTGGAAGGTGACTGGATCACCAGGCCAAGGCCCTGGCCGCCAGGGGTAGTGGGGTGGCTGGGATCGGCCCGTGCCCGGCAGGATGGGCTCGGGCGCAGCCGCCGCCGCCGCCGCCGAGCCCGACACTCAGCCGCCAGGCCGCAGCCTCTCCAGGCCTGGCCCACGGCTGCGCAGCCGGGTCCCTCACCTACCCGAGGGTTCGCTTTGGTCGGGGCTGGCCGTGTGCGCTGGCCCTCGGCAGCAAGCGCGTGCTGCGTGAGAGAAAGCCCGCCGGCACCCAGCCTCGGCCACCTGCCCGGCCCCTCGCTCGGGGAACGGCCCAGGTCCCCCAGGAGCCCTGGGTGCTCCGGGCGCGGCGGGACCCCGGCAGCGCCCAGACACGAGTGGGGCCTGCCTGGCCGCTGCACCCCACACAGCGTCACCTCAGGACCTGGGGCGCCCTCCCGCGCAGCCTGGGCTGTAGGACCCGCCGGGCCGCCGAGCGCCGGCCCTGCAGGCGGCCGGCTTCTCGGAGCGCGCGCGACTCTCTAGCGACCGAGGGCGCTCTCGGTGGCTGCTTCCGGCCCGGGCCAGAGCGACGCTCGGAGCCCCGGAAGTCCGGCGCGGGCGGCGGCGGCGGCGCGATGGCGGTGGCGGCCGTGTCCGAGGCCTGGCCCGAGCTTGAGCTGGCGGAGCGCGA